GGGGGGGGGGGGGGGGGAAGGTGTCACAAAACAGGTTAAGTACACTAGAGCACGCCTCTCTGGCACATAGCCAGCATGGGATGGGTGTTTGCTTCCTCTTCCTGCTGCTCTTGAGGTCTCTGGGATTTGCAGTCCAGAATCACAGCAACAGGACTCTGCATGGTTGCTTGTCACTTTCTTCCTGCTTCTAGGTGCCTCTGGGACTTGTAGTCCACAGTCACAGCCAGCAGTAGGTTTCAGTAAGTTTAGCAGCAGGGCAACTGTTACAAGTTTAAACCAGTTTCTGATCATTTAAGCTGGTTTATGTGCAACTTCTGTCTCCAAAAGGGACAGGAAGGAGAAAACTTGGGGAGGGGAGTGGCATTTGCTCCTCCAGGTGGCTTTTTTTGTCCAGTGCCAGGGCCATATACTAAGGCAGCCCCCTGGCACCCCCAACCCCTCAGACCCCAGTTTTCCTGCCCAGAGGAACAAGCAGACTCTCTTACCTGGTGCCAGGGCTGTCTTAATTACTGCCTCTTCTAGGGAAGTTGGGGTGGGGGAGAGGGGCGTGGGCTTTTCAGCAGTGATCAGAGGCCTTTGGAACTAGGCATCTCCTGCTGCAATTAAACCTACCCCCTCTGCCAATCAAGGGGCATGGTGTGGGGGAGAAACGGCACAATCTGGTCATGAATATGGTGGCGCCTGCCACGACTGGGTCATGATATTAGTGAGCTGGGCTGACAATTTAAACCAGGCCCTACCATAAGTGTGCTAAATCAACTCTTGTAATAGTGACACATTGAATCACTTTGTTAGAGGGGTGTTATCTAAACAAATGGCTTGTATAAGGGGTTGATGAAGAATGTCTCACTTCATCCTCAGTTGAACATTCTCTTCCTCCTTGTCCTCCCACTTTGTCACTTGCGAGTCATAATGTCAAACTTTGCAGGGGGAGCAGGGGACACCATGGATGGCATAATTATACTGGGTTTTGCAGTCTCTTTACTTTCTGATGCTAGACTTCAGAAGTAATAATATATACATAGGATTAGAATGGGTCTTTTAAGCCATTGAGTCTAGCCTCCTGTGCACACTGATGCTTGGATGATTCCATTGCCTGAGGACACTGAAGGGAAAGGGACTAATGCTTGACAAAAGTGACTAGTCACTTTCTGCATGTGTTTACTTCACAGTGTTTGGAGTAAGCTGATTTCCCTCGTGCCTTTTCTGTGAAATCTCTATATGGATTGTGGCTCCCCCACCTTAGGAGGAAAGGTGGCCAAAAGACAAGTCTCCATTTTCCAAAGAGCAAGTCTTGGTATAGTCTGACTGAACTATATTTAGGCCTGTTGTATCTGTAGTCTGCATGGGAGCCATGGGTGTTGAGAAAGAAAGGAAGCTTCTTTCTCTTATTTCTACTTGAGAAGCATCCAGAGGCAGAGAACATCAAAAGGAAACCATACCTTGCACTGTTTTCTAATGATTCTGGATTTTCATCCAATCCCCTGGCCTTTCCTTTCCTTTCCTTCCCTTCCCCCAAGAAAATGGAGGATAAAACTGTCTGAGGACTTCTCCCAATGGCAAGAAACCAAACTTGCATGATACACTGGAAAGGGAACTTTGGGTCTGTGTCAAGGGCCCAGGCAAGCCTAACAGTCCATTGGGCTGCTGTGGTTAAGGCACACCAATTACTGTAGTCAGTGTCATATAAAGGCATGGTATGGCCAGCATGATATCTGGTCACTTGTGGCTTCTCACCCTGAATGACCAAGTGCCCATTTACAGCTGAATCAACTGGGGCACTCTGGCAGAAGACCAGAGCAGGGCTTGAACTTTCACCTCCAGCACTATAGCAAGACATGTTAATAGCTCTGCCACTCCACCAAGTAGGGTCAGTGGAGGCTTTCTTATAACAAAAAAGAGCAAGCACTTCACAGTCCCAACAGACTTATGTTCTTTCACTTGTTTCCCTTTCAGATGTTCACAAGACACAACAATCAGAGGACAAGGTAAGTCTCTCTTTGGAATTGAGATGGTGTCAAGGATCTATGACTTCAACCTAGGAATGGCCCAATCATAATCCTTTCTGAGTAGATGTTTTGGGTACAGAAATCTAAGCTGCCTTGTCCTGCAACAGTGTGTCATGTTCAAAAGATTCAATTGTCATTTAATATTTTTGGTGCTTGAAGAATGCCAGGGGCCTGAAGGAAGATGACTTTCATCTCTGTTCTCTGACCAGGGAAAGGCCCAAGGCCAAGTTCAGAAACGAAACCACTTGAGTGGTCATGATGTACATACTGTAAGGGAAAAGGGTGAGATGCAGCTGGCAATACTGCCAACTATGGGGTTTATAACGTGGGTGTATTTCTGCTGCCACAGCACACTTCCACAACTTCAGCATGCTGTTATCATAAGTGATTCTGGTCTAGTCTCTTATACCTTGTCACCCAGTTTGAGCAACCATGACAGGATTGCCTTGTGACCACCTTATCCTTCTGTGGAAGAAGACACATGATCTCCAAAGTAGGTAGAGGTGTTCTTTGGGTTAGAAAAGTTAGAAATCTGAAGGTATCATCTAGGAACTGTCTTTACAATACTGAACTACTACTGCATTGATCTGAAAGGCCACTTGCTTCCTTGGCTTCTCTTCATAGCTGCTGGAGTGTCTGGGAATGGTGATCTATAATGCCCTGGACTGGGGCATTGACAGCCATATGGAGCGAGAGCTGAGCAAACCCCTGGAAAACCTGATTTCCCTTATGCTGAAGCTAGACATTGAGGCAACAAAACCAGCAATCAGTCTTCAGGATGTCATTAAGGTTTTTTCTTTTTTCTTTTTAACAGTCCAGTTGTTGAAAATGCTAATGTACTGGCACTCGGAACTGTTGGAGAGCATTCTAGGAAAATTTGGGTAGTGCCCTGGAGGAGGCACTTAGTACTCTCCTTATAACAGTAGGTGAGAATGGTGCACTCCAGAAGATCTTATCCCACAAGGATGGGGAGGAAGGAAGAGTGGTTGCACTGTGGCACAACTGTGGTTAGGGGGTCCAGTGTGTGTGGCCCAAAATGTTTCCAGTTGCTTGCAAGGAAAAACAGCCTTTTTTCCCCCTTGCAAGTGCTACACACAATTAGCTGGTTCAGTTCCCAGTTGCAATGGGGGAACCACACTGCTAATTCAGTCACAACTAGTTACTGAAACTGTTAATATGTGGAGTGAAGCTGGGGCTTGCTAACTTGCTTTTTTTGGTTCATGCTCTTCATCCTCCTACTTCCTGAGGGTCAGCCCACTTGAGGTGTCCACATGCAGCACTTCTTTTTTCCCCAGGGTATGTTGGTGTAAGGAAGCATAAATGCCCTGCCTCAAGATCACTGTAGATGAGATGACCCTAGCAACATGCCAGATCTTGTCCACTTAAACTATTATTGCTTGATAGGTGGATAGAAGTGCAGACACACGGAGAGCTCTGCAAAGAGCTGTTTGCCAGAATGTGGGCACTCCTAAGCAATGCTGCCTATATCCTAAGGGATTAAGGATTCCTTGAGTCCAAAACAGCATTCAGGCCAAAGGAAGCCTTCTTACTTACTTACTTTAGATTAACACATGAACTAACCCTTGCTTTAGCTAACCTTAGTCATGTCAATGCTTTCTCCAGGCTTCTGGCCTCTAGAGGGCAGGCAATCATAAAATAGCATTGCAAACTTGTTTCTGGGCATTTGAATACAAAAATGCCTATCTCCATGGGGGAAGCTGCTATCAGCAGAACTTAGCACGTCAGCACTGTGAGAAGTATTACTAAAGCCAACATTCCCAAAATGGGTTTTGAAGTTTAAAGCACTGTCCAAACTGCTCTCGTGCTGGACTTTTTCTAAGTATTCAACCCCACTTCCAAGTTTTATGAAAAGGGAAAACCTAAGGGGTGACTCATCCAAGGCGTATTCAAGTTGTTTGAAGAACTGGGATCTGGATGAGAACAACTCCCACTTCGTCAGTTTAGATTGTCTCAAGAAAGTTCACTGTCTCCAGTCCGTCTCTCTCTAGCTGGCTGGTGTGTTCCAGGCATTGGATAGCTGTAATCTTACTCTTGCGGGGGGAGCAGGAAATTCCTTTTGAGACCAAAGAAAATGAAATGCATACCTGAGAGACCATGGCAACTTTCTCTGTAAAAAGCTTCAGTAATGACTCTTTGAAAGAGCTGCTCTTCCCGCAGACCAGGGGTTGCCAACTTGAGGGTATGCATACTCCCAGGGGTACTTGGGAAGGCCCTAAGGGGTACATGCGGGCAGGTGGTGACAGTGCTGCCGCCCACCATCCCAGGGCGCCTCCCAGGAGCAGGGCCAGGGCAGGGCAAAGGCAGTGGTGCCCCTCTGTGGGCCGCACAGGTGCCACTTGATCAGCCAACACGAGGTGGGAAGGAAAGCTTGCACCCGGCAGCAGTTGCCGCCACCCCACGCTGCTACTCCGCATTTGGCTGCACGCCACCCCTACCTCTGCTGTGCATCCAGCCACTGGGGTACACTTATTTTAAAAAGTTGAAAGCCCCTGCTGCAGGCAGTTAGCTAAAGGTTCAACGTATGGAAAACAAGATGATAAAATGCAAATAGCACCTGTCTTATAAATTGTTCAAAATTGGGCCTGTGGTTTGGTGGTTGTGTTTTCCTTCACTCACAGCAGAAGTAAAGGGTCTTATTAGCAAGAACATGGCAGAAACACAAGTATGTATGGCTACTTGGGTAGCACAGTCCTCCTAATTCTTTGTTTTGGGGAGAACTTTCTCTAAAACCGTCAATTGCTGCATTGTCTTGCAGATCTGTGAGGAGCATGTGTCCTGGCCCTCTGAGGCTTCCAGCCATTACAGAACAATCTCTAGGGCTCTCTTTGCTGACTACATGGATCTTCAGCAACTCGCATTTACCATCCAGAACTCCAAAGAGGTATCTTGGGACCATCACTATCTGTTCGCTAACTCCACCCACTTAATTCTGACAATTAATTCTTTTTCCCCTGGAGGAGGGTTATTTAGCTGAAGTTATATTTAAAAAAAAAAGGGGGGGGGAGTGTGTGTTTCTTAAAAGCAGTAGCAGTTTAATCATATGAATTACTTCTGTCTTCCAAGAATTTTAAATGTGAAAGCTGGCAATTCAGTGACAGACTAGTTAGATGGGAATGACTGGATGCAGTGCAGGCTAATGATCAGGTCATGTGTTTGCTTGACAGAGTCTGAAAAGAATGGATGTGGTAGCTTTGCTGGAAAATTCTTCCCAGAAGAAGGCAAATTGCTGGGTAAGGATTTAGATTTTTGGTTTGTTTTTATAACCCTTGTGTGAGGCCTTCTGGTGACTTTCCATAGAATATTGATCCGAATATACAGATAAAACCATTTAAAAGAAAAACCCTCTAACTCAGGAAGCTAAGGCCTTGTAAACAAAGGGAAACTATTACATGAAAAGCTAGGGTGTGAATTTAAAATGTGTCAGTTTTTTCCCATGAACTCCTTGCATGGACATTAATGCAAAATAGAGTTATTTCTAGTGTCACTTAATCCACTTCCAAAGAGACACTAAGCATGCACGTGAGCAGCTACTTCAAGATATTTCAGTCTGAGCAATGCTGGGAAAGCTAGTATAGATCAGCTGCTATGTCCCTCAGACCTGTTGTGTGCGAATAGGCTTACATATCAAGGTGGCTCAAGGCCAGTAGCCAGTCAGTGGCTACATATCAGGGTAGCTCCAACTGTTTGCATTGATCATGCGTGTAAAAACAATGATGGGAGGAGGCTTCCAGGCAGAAAAGTTCAGGGTGGACATAGATTGCGTGATTACTTTACCACAGTTCCTATAGTCTCGTCTCCTAGTTTTTGGACTACATGCTTGTTGGATCAGAGAAAATGAGTTATTCTGTCCCAGCCAGGGCTCAGTGCCTTCAGTGCTCTGCCAAAAACAAATAGCTCTTCTGGCTGGAAGTTAGCCAGTATAAACCAATGCACTGGAGTCTGGAGTCTGTGGAGACAGTAACAGTACACTCTTTTCCCCCTGATCCCACCCCACCCCCAACCCTCCCAAGAGACTTGTGGACATGCTCCCTTTGTCTAAATAGCATTCACTTTGAAACATATTCAAACTATTCATATGAAAATGTTTGTGCAATGTGTGTTTGGGCGTATTTTCAACTTTTGTGATCTGTTAAAACAAACTGGCAAGCTATAGAAAACCGCAAACTATAAGCTTGTATAGCTACTTTTTTTTTTTTTTTAGGGAAGACCTGAGTAAATATGCATTTTGCAGTGTGGCCTCAAGGTCAATAGACAACTGGGCTTTGCTGCATCAAGAGAAGCAAATTCCAAGGGCAAGAGCTCCACTGCACATTCTCTGCCCCTGGTCTTTTAGTGTTAAGTTTCCAAGATGGCCAGTAGGCTGCACCATCTTGAGTCTCTTACTTTATGGTAGCCAGGATGTGAATTGCATAGGATTCTGCCAGCTGATCAAATAAAGTTGGAAGAGCCCTTATGAGGTCATCCAATTTAACCCCCTGGTTAAGGCAGAAACATCTGTTTTAGCCATTTTACCTATGTTTTTGTCTAATCTGCACTTTAAAACTTCCAAGGACAGAGATGCCACCACAGCCTCTCTCTATAATCTGATCCAGTATTCAATCATTTTCACAGTAAGAAAGTTCTTCTGAATATCCACTCTAAATTTACCTTGTTACAATTGTAGCTTGTTGACTTCTTGTCCTTCTCTTGCAGCTACAGAGAATGACTTATCGCCATCCTTCTTATAACAGCACATTTTATATTTTAAGGCTGTTATCAAGTCCCCCCCCCCATTTAATTATTGCTTATCCCAATTAAATAATCCCAGTTCCTCCAGATTTTACTTGTAGGTTACATTTTCTAGGCCTTCAGTTATTTCTGCTGTTTTCCTCTCTGTACTCTTCCCAATTTGTCTGTCGTTCTTGAATTGCCATGCCTAAAACTGGACACTGCTCCAAGTGAGTACCCACGTTACACCAGTGCTGAGTAAAACAGAAGATTGATTTCTCATGAGGAGCATGCAATGCTCCAGTTAATGCCTCCCGATATATTGTTGGCAACAAGAGCACACTGGTGATTCGAATACCATGAATTCCTTTTTGAAGTCTCTGGGTTCATCATGTGAACCATGTTTGAACACCTAGCCATGCCAAAGCCAATCTGACCTATTGTAGTCTTTTTTACTTCTTTGGAGCAGGAGAATTGTTCTCTTTCCCCCTTTTTTTTGTAGTCTCAAAAGATTGACAGCTACTGGACTAGGGCAAATTCATGGTAATAAGGCTGCTTATGTGGGATATACAAGTATTTGAATGGTCTTCTGGCTAAGATGCTTGCTGTGGTCTATCATGTAAGATGAAGTGCTGTTACAACCCAAGAAGTGGCTCCTAAGGTTTATCTTGTTGTACCTTTTTCCTATAAAACATAATCTGATGGGCAGTTGTAACAGTCAGTTGTCTTGACATTTCTTTACTATTAACCAGTTTGACCATTCTTTTCTGAATTACATTTTCAGCTCAAACTTCTAGTGTTCTTCAATGCAATCAATAAGTAATTCAGGAGATATTTTTCCATTGGCTATCCTCCAGCTGCTTCATTTCTGTATAGCAGATGGAGCATTACTGATAGGCTAGCTGTCTTGTATTTATAGAATCATAGAAAACTAGGGTTGAAAGGGACCCCAGGAGGTCATCTTGTCCAACCTCCTGCTCAAAGCAGGACCATCCCCAACTAGATCATTCCAGCCAGGGCTTTGTTGAGCCAAGTCTAAAAACCTCCAAAGGATGGAGATTCTACCACCTCTCTCGGTAACATGTTCCAGTGCTTCACCACCCTCCTAGTGAGAGTTTTTCCTAATAGCCAACCT